GCACTTCCGAAAGAGAAAAAAAAAGGGCTTTTTTCAATATCGCGCTCCATGCAAGTTTCGATTTATTCGGATCGATTATTCTAAACGAGCGTTATGCACTTCTTTTAAAAAAGTTATTTTAAAATCGGGATCGACTTCTTGTTTTTTTTTTTCTTTCTTTTTTGCAATTCAAATGCGCATGTACGAAAGGACCTAAATTAGATAGAAAGATACGAAAACCATGACATGAGAACAAGAGGGTAACAACGTATGCCGTGTTGCACATCCACAAGGTGGTCCTCCAAATTCGGGAGGGGGAGGGGGTCCGCGTGGCCGTAGCCGGCAAAGGATGGCCTCGTCCACGTGGGAAATGTGGTCCAAGGGGCTCGCGCCAGGTTTGAACCGCGACACGTGTCCGGAAAGGAGAGGTAACAGGCTGGTGGGCAAAAGAGAGCATGGCATTGGGAGGGGATCATCATCTTCCCTCTTTCTTCCCCTCTTCTTTTTTTGCCCCCCTCCTTTTACTTTCAAAAACTTGTTCTTGTGTGTCGATGTGAGGATGAATGTAGTCAAAGGAGGTCGGAGGTTTGACTATATTCGGTGCGAGGCAATAATTGGGAAATCGGGATCCGTCTCGACGGATGTAATCCTCAATTTGCGATTCCTATATTCCTATCACTTATCGATTATAGTATTTAGGACGTGCTCTGCCGCATGCGCGGGGTAAAGTAGACATGTAAAAGAAAAAAAGCAAAAGCCAACAGAAACCCTAAATTTTGCCCATCGTGACATGTTTACCTTAAACCTTTTTTCGTTGACGCAAAACATTTCAAACCTGTGTCCGCGTGACACATTTACCATATGGATGCCGGGAAGTAAATAGTATTGACATGGCGCCCATGCGTAAAGAAATTATTTTGTCTGAAAAATCATATAACGGAACTTTGATGGATGGTAAATGTGTCAAATTGATATAAGTTGAGGTAAATATCTTACGGTGGGTATAGTTTGTGATTTTTTGTGACTTTTTTTCGAGGAAAAAAAATAGGGGGAATTATGCAAAATTCTCTTTTGGATTTTTGGGCTTTGCATGATTGCATGTGTCTCTTTTGGTTTTTGTCCAACTGAGCCATGAACAGTCAAATCAGGAGGACCCCCTTTTACCTCGCATCATTGGAAATCATATGGGACACACAGCACCATAACACATGCTATGATACTACCATAACGTTCCACAGGAGCCAATGCTCGCTGACCTCTTTCTTGGTCAAGATCGATGGTCCCTTCCTCGTTCCAGAACTTTAGGTTATGATGGAGAAGGCCAATCTTCTACCAATATATGCTTCAACGAGCAAGAATGAAGAGTCAATGTCCTTTGTCACTAATGAATTAGTTCCATGCTTTAAGCCCATAGGCTTTAAGTTGATGGGCTGGGCCCATGTACCTGTTTAATTATACTCATTTACTACCGTAAAATTTCGAGATCGAAAAGCAAAACTTCTGATCAGTCGGGTCGCTTTGAGTCGAAAAGAGCGAGGAGTGGCCAAGTCGGTCGTTATCATGAGCAGTTATTTGAGTTGATTATAAAATCACCGATAAGAGAGAACTCAGAGTTTAATTCATAATGTGCACTTTAGTTCATCGATAGGTAATATATGGTTTTCAATATTTAAGAATGTTCTTAATTTACGGTTCGGTATCGAGTCAAGGGCTGGCCGAGGTTGCCGTCCTTAGCCATGTGGAATTTGAGCAATTTTTTTATATTATCATACAAGGTAGTCTGTGAGATTTCATGCAAAAAGTATGTATATCTCGCCAATTTAGCTACCATTTTGTAAAGTTTTCTTATATCTCACTCGCACCCCTAAGTTAAGTTAATACAAGAGAGTAGACAACAAATTGAATTAGACATATCCACACTCATAGCCCACATTGCTATTCTTTAAACCAACAAGCCCAAAATCCGGTTGAAGTGACAATTTTGTAGCCTCTTAGCAATGTCCAAGGTCCAACTCAAATTCAAACGTATTTAATGTTTCCACTAAAAGAAAATTGCTAGCCCTTTAACAATCGATGGACTTTTGAAAGCCCATCTGGATGGCTTATCGACCCTAAACCAATTTTAAAAATTTGTGTTGAAAGCATAATCTTTGAGGAGCGCCCTTCCTAGATCTAATCATAACATAATCTATCGTAGTAAAGTTGGGGTATCAAATGAAATGCGTGTGGTTGCGCAGTGTGGCGACACATGGCATGACGTGGCGCCATGTGGAAATTCATTAGTGATATGGATAGTAGATTTATGTATTGAAACTATTGCATAATTTAATACATCTATGTGTAAGTGATTTTTGGGCAATCAATGCTTTTGAATATTCTGAAAATTAGAATCAACCATTAACAATAAATGCTAATAAGAATATAATTTTGTGATTTCGTAACATATGCTTGAAAATTTCAATAGTCTGTCTGAAAGCTCAACAAAAACACGAGTATTTCTCTATAAGTTCAACAAATGTGCGGGATACCGAAATTTTTGAAGTACAACAAATGTGCGGGATACCGAAACTTTTGAAAATCATGTACATACGTATACTTTACGTAAAGGTTCAAGTATATTACTAATAGAGATATCTACACGAGCATAAGCGAAATGACTTCTTTTAGAAACTTAATTTAACGTCAAGACGAAATTCAGATATGATTAATTAGTAAAACATTTTTTGGATTAAAATAATCTATACTATTATCTATACTATTGTATAAAGCAAGGGGGACCCCCTACTTTTAAGGGATCTCAATCGCTTTTTCCTCTCAAAATATCCTTAATTACTTATTTTACAGGTATTGTGTACATGAAAAACTGCGTAACGAGATAATCCTATTTATCCTCTCATGTTTCATTATCAAATTTTGTATATTTTCTAGGATACAATATATATATTTTTAAATATTTCAACTAAAATGCCTTTTTCTTTCCATTAATAAACATATAATACCATTGTGTTGTGTATTTTTATTAAAAATTAATTTTAATTAATAAAGTACTTCGCGATTATGTAATTTTGGTTAATGATTTAAATATCAATCTCTTGCATATACGCAACACCTTTGCATATTCATTAGTATTATATAAAGGAAAGGAGACTTCCTACTTTAAAAGTGTCATGATTTTTTTTTATTCTTTCTCAATATATCCTCGGTTAGTAAATTTATTGTCTATCTCACATATTTCCATTTTAAAGCTCCGTTCGTTTTGCGGAAAATGCAACGTTTTTGGAAAATGTTTTTCGGGAAGTCATTAGGAAAATGACAATATTTTCTGGTGTTTGCCTAAAACTTGAAAATGAACTAGAAAATATTATTCGTTGTTTGGTATGGAAAATCCTCATTGCACTCATTTTAATATTTTATTTATTTTTTTAAAAAAAATCGAATTTTTAAAATATTTTTGTAATAATTTTTTTTTATATTTCTTCTCTTTTCTTTTCTTTTTTTCTTATTTTACTAGTCGCCGGCCACGGCTGCGGCCGGTGATCGGCCACTGGTGTGGCTCAGCCTCACTTGCCCAAGGTCGGCGAGCTCGAGCCTCGCCGGCTATCAGATCCGGCGTTGCTTGGCCTCGTTTAAGCCTCACTGGCCTTGAGCGAGGCCGAACAGATTCGGCGATGCTCGACCTTGCTTGAAGTCAGCGAGGTAGCGAGGGTGAGCCTCGCCTGTTGCTGGCCTTTGCAATGGCCGGCGACCGGCCAAGGAAGAAGAAAACAAAAAAGAAAGAAAAGGAAAAATTTTAAAAGTAAATAAATTAAAATTAGTTTTAAAAAAATAAAAAAAGAAAAGAAAAAATAAAAGAAAATTAAAATGTGTTATGCGAAAGAAAGTGAGGTGAAATAAGATATGGAAAATGTTTTCCACTTTTTGAAAAGCCGAAAGCATTTTGTTCAATTTTGAAGGTGTTTTTCCTATTAGTAGAAAATGTTTTCATGACTAATTTATTTTCAATGAAACGAATGTTTTCCGGAAGTTGTTATCCATAAAACGAATGGAGCTTAAATTTGAATTTATAAACTTGGAAGCTTGAAATATTTTGCCCTTCCTACATGCGTACAACTTTTTCATATCGTGCAAATAGTTTCGTTTCATTATTTAATATTTCAAATATTTCATGATAAGACATTATTGAAAAATATTTTGAATGTCAAATTTTTTAATACACACAACTTATGTGCACTTTTATTAGTTAATAATGATTGGCACAGCTTTTTACCAAACGCAACCGCACGTCCATGTCTTTTTCTCTGTCCCATTAGACCGTCAGTTTGTTCTCTTATCTTTGTAAACTAGAATCGTACAGAACATTTCATCTCTCCTTGTACCCACTCATGTTTTTTCGTATGCTGATTATTCTTTTTTTTTGGGTCAAAATATGCTATGCTGATTATTCACTTGGTTACAAATTTGTATCAGTTTTAAGTTAGGTCGTGTCATCTTAAATTCAACTTATTTACAAATTTTTTCTTTTGCGTTGAGCCGAAAGTATTTTCGTATCGTCTTAGGAATTATCACCCTTACACTTAGTTAGGAGAAGTTAGATTGTCGAACCACAAGAGATTTTATTTGAACACCCCCTCTTACGAGTCAGGAGGATTGAGAATGATACGTGGAATCGATGAATTAAGTGCCTCATATTATATTGGATTATCCTACCCAAAAGTTTAAGTCAATATGTGAAACGAGCTTATATGATTGAAACCTAGGGGGAAAAATGCCTATGAATACATACTATATGCAAGCAATCATCTTGTTGCTCAACTCGTAATGTTTTAAGTTTTGGTCTTAAAGAAAAAACAGGCACTCAAGACACGCGGTCCAGCCACGCTGCAAATGACAGAATAAAAAAATAATAAGCGATGGTTGTTACCATAATCTAATCAGCGTGGTTCGGTTGTTGAAAAGCCAACCTGGTTCTCTTCAATGATATACTGACTTCTACATGATTAAATATGACCAGGCCAGTCTGGCCAAGGAAGAGAAGCCACGGCTGAAAAGTATTATTGAGTCATTTAACATTTCTTGCTTCTGTACTTGTTCGGCCAAGCCTGGCTTGCTTGGACACTGGTTGCTGAAGCTGAATAGAACAAGTGATTGAGTCAGCAGGCAATCAACAATTGTCTGTCAAATGGGTTGGCTCAGGAGAATGCTGAAAGGTTCTGCTTCCAACTCCAGGATACCATCGGACTACAACGAGGATCGCTACTGGGACGAGCCTCGTGATTCGTCGGTACTTAATCAGCTGTAGCAAATCTATATGTCTTTCCTTCTAAGCAAGATGGAACTAGCTGGTGTTTGGTTATTCTGATTTGTACCCAAAAAGTTCATGTCGTGGTAGATTAAATTTTGCAGTGTCACACTTTGATAGAGATTTAATTCGTTCATGAAAATTCCTCATATCGTTTGGTGTAGGATGAAGTATTGGACAGTGAGAGAGAAGAAACACATTATGCAAGTACTCATTCTTCAGCTGATGAAAATGAATCAGGTAAAGTGATAAACTTGATCAGCAGTGACAATGCCAAGTGAATTTGACTTCCCTACAATGTTGAATGACAAAGCATTTGATAGATGAATAGGATTTCTTGCGACTTTCCCCATCCCTTTCCTTTTTTTCGCAGGATTTTTTGTAGAAAATCAAATTTGAAATTACTCGGAATTGTGATCCTGTAAAGGGTCCTCTAGAAGAATCACTACAGAATAGTATCAGAACTGATTAAAAGGATGCGATTTGTGAGCCGTCATATTACCATCTCCGATTGGCCAGTGGAGCAGAAAAGTCTTTGTGCTTTTTGAACTCTTCCACTGAATGAGCATATTTTAAGCAATATATGATTTCTTGAACATGGGTTATGCAGGGGAGAGTTCCCTGAAATGGCATCATTTACATGAAGCAGTTTGTCTGATTTCGGACTACTAATGTTGTTCAGAGGAAGACCAACAATCTGATGCTAGCCAATCAGAGACTGGTGATGGACAATATTACGAAGCCAGCCACTTGGAGGAGGAAGATCAGAGACTTGCCGAGGCTCTCCAACAAAGTTTAGTTTTCAATTCAAATCCTCTGTGCGAACTCGAGAGCATATTTCCCCCTTTTCCATTCTCTTTTCATTCTATGGACAGGTACGGTGCTGACTGCTGAGACTTCGCCTCCCTTTTCTGAATATAGTGGCCAACATTTACGTTCTCATTCTTACAGGTCAAGCAATGACGCATAAAACAAAACAAATATATGCTTTTCGATATTTTCATTAGCAAGTAATGATAGAATAATGCATCCTTTGGTGAGTGAAATTGGATGTAGAACCAGATAAATCCTAGTTTGAGAATCTCTCATAGCTATAATTTCCTCCACTTGTCATGCTCGAATTATTAGCCTGTATGGGTTAAGGGGCTAGTTTTTAGCCCAGTTGATGCAGACCATCCACTCCAGATGCTAATCAAAGTTGGCTAGGCTATTTGTCATGTAAATTTGAGTTCTAATTCTCACTTGCAATCGGTCTTTTGATTTTTCAGGTTTTGTTAACCAAGGCTTGTGTTGATGTTAATTGCCCTCTGTCTCATGATGGACTTCTGATATTTGGACAAACCCTTGTCAGGTCACGCAATAAGGAGCGTCATCGACCAATATGTTATGTTTGCAAGAACCTGGTAAGTAATTAGGCTTTTCATCAACTTCCTTTTTGAGATGTTTACTCTGGCTGTGATGGATTGAGTGCTCTGGTTTTTTTTTTTGTGCTGTGATTGATTAAGTTTGTAACATTGACTATACATAATGACTGTACTTGCACTTGATCTTACAGATCCCAGTAGATTCTTCCGGAAATTTTCAATATAGGTTCAATCGTTTCTGGCGACAGAAGTATTGTCCCTCACATTCACGTGACGGAACTCATCGTTGTTGCAGTTGTAGGAGGTTGGAGGTTGGTTCTACTTATCCAAACGTGCTCATATATTTCTTCTTGCCATAGCAACGCAATTAATTGGAAAACACGTGAATGGTAAAACGATGACAAACACAAGCATCAGAACAAGTTTTTTGTAATTTTTATTGCTAAGCTTTCAAATTTGCAGCCGAGGGACACAACATTTTCTTCCCTAACTGATGGTCGGAAGCTGTGTCTGGATTGCCTTGACTCCTCGATTATGAATACGGATCAATGTCAACCCTTGTACCACGAAGTTTGTAAGTTTTACGAGAACTTAAACATGAAGGTGCATCAGACAATTCCGCTATACTTGGTCGAGAGACAAGTCCTCAATGAAGTTGAAAAAAGTGAAAGCAAGGTAAGCGAAAAGGGCAACAAACAGGTGTTATTCTATGTCGATGCTGATTGAGAAGTCATTGTGTTCCTTTACCTTTGACAGGGACATCGTCTGTTCAGTGAGATACGAGGAGTCACCATGACAAAGGGATGCAGCATCGATGCCGTATGACGTCCTGTCCTAAGAATTTTCTTTGCAAATATAATCATCATAATAAGCTAGATTGTACTGAGTTTGTTTTTCCCTTCAAATTACTAATGATTATGAATAGTCATTCATTTATCTTCCTGTTTATCAACTCTTCAGATTGTAGAGCAATCGAGGATCAGGGACGGCAACAAGACTAAAATAAAATCTAAGCGATACAAACTGGTCGCTTACTCGGAGGTCATAGCGACCATCATTTTGTATGGTTTCCCAAGGTAGCAGACGACTAATTACTCATCAAATTTATCTTATTCCGTGTTTCAGAAAATGCTTATCTTCTATATGAACTATGACATGAAGAATTTAATCATTTTCAGGTTGCTAACCGGGAGGATCCTCGCTCATGAAATGATGCATGCGTGGCTGCGACTCGAAGGTTCTCTCTCTCTCTCTCTCTCTCACACGCGCGCACATTCTGCTGTGGATGATTGCTTAAGCGACTTATCTGCTTTTATATTCTGCTTAACTCAAATTAAAAGGGGAAAAAACTTGGCATTGGATGATAGGTTATCCATTTATAAGCCCAGAGGTGGAAGAAGGCCTTTGTGAAGTCATGGCTCATATGTGGTTGGAGTCTCAAATCTCATCCTTGTCTACAAGTCATAATCACTTCGAGAACAGGCTTGCTGAGTATCTCAAGCACGATACCGAGTCACGAACATCACATCCTTACGGAACTGGATTTCAACGGGCAAAGAGGGTGATCGGCATGTACGGCCTCAAAGGAACAATCGATTACATCCGTATGACGGATACATTTCCTGGTTGAGTTGTTCTGAAGCGGGTCTCTCCTGCTATAGGAACACAGTATAAGGCAGTGGTTCTTTGAATTCAGGAGTACGTTCGACATGTGAAGATTATTGAAGGAAATGTTTAGCAAGTTTATACGTATCATCTGCTTAAAGTGCATCCACTTTAAGCATTGTTTTAGCTAGTATGTCAATTCTACCGTTCCATAGGGAAAATATGAGAACACTGTACTGTGCAAGTAAAATGTGACAAACTTGATAGCTTTCAAACCTTGTTGGTAACAAAATTTTGACCGGCTTCTCTTTAGTTGGTAACACGTTGTTTACCAAAACTTTTACGAAAACACCAACAGTTACTGATTGCTTTAAATCACGAACTATTTCAATAGTGCATCAACATTTATTTACGTAGCTTACCAATATGTTAAAATTTGTAACTTTTATTAGAAAATCACCAACTCTTATTTGAGTTCACTTATGAATGTTTATTTCATTGTTTCGAAATGACCAATTGTTCCAATAATTTACCAACATTTATTTGTTAAATTCACCAATGCGTTAAAATTACTAACTCTTATAGAAAATTATCAGTCTTGGATTTGGGTTATTAACCAACTTCTTTAAGGATTAAGACGCTAACTAGTTTTAGCATTACTAACTTTCAGTTGAGTGAATTAACAACATTTTATTTTTATGTTTTGAAATTATGAACTTTGTCACGCCCCGAACCCCAACGGCTCGCGACACCCCTTCAACGGTCGTATTGAACGCAACGTCCCAGGACGCGTCGCCGACCCAAATGAACTACGCAAGCGGAAGCGAAATAAAACAATCCAGACAACTAACATGATGAAAAAAGGATAGCACGAAACAATAATTGCATAACATCATAAAGCAGTCACTATTACAAAACGATAACCCAGGCTACCAATTTCAAACCACAATTTTCAAAAGGGGGCGGTGGTTGATAAGCTTATCTCCTCTACGAAAAGGTACTCAAAAGACAGGATAATTTGATCTATCCTTCAATCCCCGTGGTACTCTGGCGGCATCTCCGAATCGATCACGGTCGCGGATCTGAAAGTGGTTATATAATAACCGTGAGAACGAGTCTTAATAAGCAACACCCTAAACCCCACCTAGGTCAATGCGTACTTAGACAAGTCTCAACATGCAATCTAACCGATAACATATATATAATTCACATCAATGGACTTACCTTGCCATCCAATCACATGCCCCCACTGCACATTAGTCAAATCATGATAATGAAATAATATTCCGATAATATAACACAATCATTCGAGCGCCATCCACACTCGCACCCAACCAATCCAACCAAACATCCACACATACCATCAATCAATCCAATCAAATATCCACACGTACCATCAATCAATCCAATCAAATATCCACACGTACTTTCAGCCAATCCAACCAATCACATTTCGCACATGTGTCCAACCAACCATCTCACGATCAGCGCCACTGCGCCTCAGGTCCATTCTCACATCCCGTGCCAATGCGCCTCAGGCTTAGCCCTCCGATCAATTCGGGCTCTGTCCCTCATTGGACATCTCGCACTTTCTCACGACCCGCGTAAACACGCCTCAGGTCTGACTTTCCTTTCACGGACCACAGTCAACACGTCTCAAGTCCGTTCTCACAAGCACACAAGCCACACAATTCAATCAATTCCAATGGCCGCCGTCAACACGTCCCAAGCCAAACTTTCCTTTCACGGACCACCGTCAACACATCTCAAGTCCGTTCTCACAAGCACACAAGCCACACAATTCAATCAATTCCAATGGCCGCCGTCAACACGTCCCAAGCCAAACTTTCCTTTCACGGACCACCGTCAACACGTCTCAAGTCCGTTCTCACAAGCACACAAGCCACACAATTCAATCAATTCCAATGGCCGCCGTCAACACGTCCCAAGCCAAACTTTCCTTTCACGGACCACCGTCAACACGTCTTAAGTCCGTAGCCCTCCGATAAATCCGGGCTCAATTCTAATGACCGACGTAAACACGTCCCAGTCCAACACACCTTTAACGGGCCACCGTCAACACGTCTCAAGCCCGCATCCATTTGGCACACCGGCCATTCATGCCTTCACACGGACCGCCGTCAACACGTCCCAAGTCCGTAGCCCTCCGATCAATCCGGGCTTATAATCGACAGGCATACACACGCCATTCAATTCAATCAATTTCACGCCAATTGCACCAAGCGATCCACATTCACAACTCAATTCAATTCACGATACGCCACACCAACCCACAAACTCGACATTCAATCGGCAACATTCAAACATCAAATTCATCCACAAACGCCACGATAACACCGAATAATTCTCGAGAGAAAGAGAAATCGAGAATATACAAAATCGGGTCCAAATTGGGCAGTTGTGCAGTGACAGAAATCTATTTGAAATAAATAGTAAATAAACTTCAAAATTTATGAAATTTGGATATGTTGCATAAAACATCTTGATAAACATTTTCCGTGAAGAACTCGAAACTCAGTTCCAACTGTAAACACCTCTTTTTGTCACTTGGATTCAGACGAAAATCAACCCGTCCGGTCAGGCCGCCTGACCATAAAAATGCATCTCATCCAGTACCCAAATCACTTTGGAAAGCCTTGAAATTTTTATATGTCATAGTCACAAATGTCCTCAACAATTTTTGTGAAGAAAGTATTTAGAAAATGGGTCTGGAAAAATTTATAAAAATTCGAATAGATCCGAAGGTCGGATGAACAGTAACTCCGGCAGCCCTGAGACGGTCCGAAAGCCGACCTCCGAATGACCCCAAGAAACTTCCAAAAATTCTGAATTTAAAGTATGTTATACCTCAAGATGTTGGGAACAAATTCCATGAAGAACACTTCCTTAGATGCGGCCCACAATGATCACCAAAAAATAACAAGGCGCAGAGGTACAGTAACAACCAGAAATCCGAGAATCATTAAACTTGCACCATTAAGCAAATCAAGCTTATATAACCACTAAACCAACTATCCACAGCCCCTAACCCATCCCTATACATGCCATTAGTAACTCACTAGCCTAACCAAGGATTAGGAAGTCACTTACCAAGGGTTTAAGCAAGAAAACCAGTGATCAGGCAAACTGAGCTCCGGCGGTGAACAGGGCTGGACGGGAATCTCCGGCAACTTTCCGGCGACCAGGCTGGGATGGTTGGAATGAACACAAGATGGCGGTGGTCGGGGTACCAGGAGTGAAGCCTAAAGAGAGAGAGAAAGAGGGGAAAATGGGTGTTTTCCAGTTGGTTTCTGGGCTAGTTCAGGCTTTTGTGAACAGTGCGCACTCCGGCGGCCGGAAGGGTGGCTGGTCGGCGATTCAGGCGGCGAGTCTGGTGGCATCGGAACCGGAGAAGCAAGGTGGAGGTGATGGTGCTTGGAGCATCGGCCGATTTCCATGAGGGAGAGAGAGATACCTCCGGGAATAAGAAGAGAGAGAGAGAGAGAGAGAGAGCAAGTCAACCCACTCAAGTGCAATCCAAGGGTCCAAAATTGATCTTGGTGAGCAAGCCAAGATCTAAGGGCCACAAAAATTCCTAGTTTTCAATTAAAGAAAAAGATTAGAAGACACTAATTCAAATAAACACTGAGGGAGGTATACTGGTCTAGATCCGCACCCGGTCCAAATTTCATTTTCCAACAAACCCGGGCAATCTCGAGGCTGGCCACATTAATATCGACACCGTCCAATTAAATTCATCCCGGAACTCCGAGAAATTCGACACCAAAGTTTGGGCTCTAAATAATGGCCAAATTCGATCGAGTGTGATTCTAGCGAAATCTCAATTTTAAAAACAATAACCGAGAGTGATCAGTTCCCGGGCGAGATTTTACTATAAGCACACTGACGAATTACACGTTTTATAAATTCCAAAAATGGGCCGAAATTCGGAATGTCACAAACTTTTTAGTAATTTACCAATAATATTTTTTTTTTGTGTTGAGCTTACTGACATGTTAAATTTATCAAGTCTTATAGGAAATTACCACAAGTCCTTTAATCCATGTTTTTTAATTGTTTGAAATTACCGATCATTCCAATGCCTTGACAATATTTATTTGTTAAAGTTACTAAGACGTGTCGCGACCTAACAAAAATCGGGTTTTCGATCTTAGGCTAATGGATTACTAAATCAATTAAATTAACTAACCTAACTCGAGTTCTCCCAAACTCTACCAAATCGCAACTTAGGTCCAATTGTGAGCATGCAAATATTTTCAATGGGAGTCGCCACTAATCATTTAAAGTAGGTTGATTAGAAACCTAAATAAAATAGCGGGAGTACTATTTTATTTCTGCGAACCAGAAATTATAAATTCGGGGACTTGGTTACGCTAGATTCCCTAGCGCCCTTTCGGTACCAATTTCAAGAGAAATACTCAATTGGACAATTTTGATAAATCCTGACTTAGAGTTCAAAGGTGCAGAAATTTTCTTTTTTGATTTTTTTATTTATTTAAATGAAAGCTAACCTTATGTAATGACGTGCAAAAATTGACATGTGATTAATGCAACCTAATATGCAAACTATATGTCATGCGACGACGTGACCTGTTTCTAGTGACGGGCATATTATTTTTTTTTGTATTTTTTAATGAAATTCGGAATTAAAAATGCCAATTATCTAAACATGCAATTTCAAACTAAAGAAATTGACCTATTCTAGAGTAATATTTTTGGTATTTTTTTTTATCGAAATTCGAAATTAAAATCCAGTAAAAAAAATATAACCGCTAAATCTTTCGAATTAAGTTTCGATCTGAAGCCTGACAGATCGATCCTAAAATTCGAAATACCCGCTATGGAAATAACTCTATCTAAAGCCTGATAGATAGATTTATTTTCACGTGTGCGGTTGCGGATTAGGAAATTTTCCTAATCGATCACATCTTGAAAAAATTTAGATATCTTAAATATCTTGGATATATTCAAAAGATTTTGAAAATTCTAAATTCTATCCAAATTTGAAAAGTAATAGATATCCAAGATTTCAAAAAAAAGAAATAAAATCCTAATTGGAATAATGCTTATTATCCAAATATGCAAAATTAGATATCAATAAGCACGAATTAAGCGATAAAATATTCAAACCAAATCAGGATAAGATATTTACCTAATCCAAAGATTTGTTTCCAAATTTGAATCACCGGCGGATCAAGACGAGCGGCAATGGGAC